CCCCCCCCCAACTGAACAATATTTCAACGTATAAAAATCTTGCACTATACCATACTATTGTGTCTTGCTGGATACATTTGGTCAATATCACACTGTGGAATGTGGTCAAGGTAACCATGCGGGTGGTTGGAGGGCGCCACTGGTATCTCCTACTTCTGTTCTTCCTATTCTATTGTTTCTGGCTGCACGTCATTCTTTTTCCTTACACTAATGACCGTTTGTTTGTCGATGTGATTCATTTTACTCAAACAAATGGCGTCGGTTGTTAGGCTACCGGACTCGTAATCGTGAGATTACGGGTTTGGGGTTCAAGCCTCAGCTCGGTCCGACGTTGTGTCCTTGGGAAAGGCACTTTACACGAATTTCCCACTTGGCTCGGTCCTTTCGGAGACGGACGTTCAACTAGTAGGCCCACCTCTTAAATAACCTAATAATTGTTGATAGGGACGTTAAACCCTTTCCATTTCTTGTTAAGCTCAAACAAAAGGCAACAATACGACACCGCTCGTTTCCTTCACCATCTACAAACGAACTCAGTGGTGTAATGGTTTCCCTCTTCGATGTTGCAAGCCTCAGACATGACTTCAATTTCGTCTATTTTTATTGAGTATATCAGTGCAGTCTTGTGGGTGGTTGGCGAGAGCTCTGGTGGGATTTGCTCCTTCTTTCCTGTCAAACGTCTATCGTCCTCATCTCCCGTTCTTTTTTTAAAAATGTTTGTTACTCTCTTGTAACACCTCTGATCTTCTGGTGCTCATATGACCTTATGCAGCTGCGAGCACCGTAATACCTCTGCTAAAATTAAACTAAGTGCAGTCTTTTCTGCTGAGTATATGGTTCAAGGGCAACACAGATAAGCCCAACTTATTTATTGTCCCTCTGTTGTTTTTTTCCTTTTCATCTGTATCTTGCTTTTCCCCTGTACTATATGGCCGTTCTTGTATCGACCTGCTTCTTTTTATTCAAACACACAGACAAACACTCACGAAAAACTGGAACCATCTTTCTGCTGTAGTGCTGTATCTCACTTACCTCGTGTGGCCATGACAGGCAGGTTCGAAGCAGTGGGCCTCCTAAATAATTGAAAGTGTATCAATGGGCCTGTGACATGTTCTAGTTGCATGAATGTCTCGTTTATATATATATATATATATATATATATATAAATGTTTGAAAATATTGTTTAAACCATGGATGGCAGGAGGGCGTCCTTGACAAATCCATTTCCTTTCTTTACCCACCTTTCTTTCTTTTTGACAGCCACGTATTTGCCTTATGCACTCAGACCGACGTTTGCTTTTTCTGTCCATTCGAAAACCTCCCACTGTCAAGGACAAGGTCTGGAAAACTGTCACTTTCGTTACCTGGCTGACTGTGTTTGTACACTATTGTTTCCTGTATGTGTTGAGGTTTTCTGTGAGAAAAGAGGTAGTGGTTGGGTTTTTTTTGTTG